TCCGAGCCGAGCTGCCTGTGCGGCTCCCGCCGGGCCCAGCACCTCTCCTAACACCTTCCGCTGGCTGGGATGCCCAGCCCGACACCGAGCTCCGCAATGGGATTACGGCTTTCCTCCAAGATCCCCAATCTAATTAAGTCTGTCCCGTTTCTGATGCGATTACCATCCCGTAAAGCCGGCACGGGCAACGCGCATGCCACGCTGCTGGGCACTGAGTGGGGTGAAGGGCTTGTCAGATGCTGGCACAGCTTCCCCTGTAGCCAGCAAAGCTGGGCTTCGGGCTCCCAGAGGGAGCTGAGACGCAGGTGGGTGGCCCCCACAAAGCACCCTTGGCCATGGGGCAAGTGAGTTTAATGGGAGATGCTGCCCAGTCAGCAAAGCAAGCGTCCCATGGCAGCCCTGTCCAGGCTCTGGCCTGTGCCAGGAGATGCTCCTGACTGCTTCGGAGGCCTCCAGGGGCTACCCAGGCTGGAGAGAGGGGGCTTCGGCGGGGAACGGAGGATTTGTCATCTGCTCTTAGGGCCCAGGCACTCCTTCAGGCACAGGCCCCCTGCAAACAGATTTAGGGTACGTGATGGCAGGTGGGACCAATCTTCTCTTCAAAGAGAGGTGAGAATGGAGCAGCCAGGACTCCCCCATGAGACCCAGGCCGTTCCAGGAGATCCACAGTTGTTCTGCAGTTCTGTTCTGCAACTCCAGTCAATTCTGGGGGCAGAGCAGCAGAGTGCTGGCCCCATGCCCACCCAATCCCCCTTAGCACCACTGGGCTAGGGAAGGGGTTGAGCTCTCACCTGAAAGACATCACCATTGACAGTGGCTCCTCCGTTCTGGAAACCAGCTAGAGAAAAAGGAAGAAAAACAAAACTATGGCAGCTGCAGCTGATCCCAGAGGGGCTGGTGTTCATGAAACTGAAGTCAGTTCCTGGGAGTTTGTCGGTGCCATTTCTAGCCCAGCACACCCATCCACAACAGCCCCACATATGTGGGCCAGGCCCCGTGGTCTCCTGTCCTTGGTGAGATGCATCCAGCACCTCTCTCTCTCCCAGACAAGCCTCTCTGGACATTTATGTCTTTACAGTGTTTTCACTGGTGTTTTATCTTATCTTTAGATTAGGAAAACTGTTCCAGGCACAAGGCTGGACACAGGCAGGTTCTCTGACCGTAGAAAGACAACCTGACCAACCCCAACTGCAAGCAGCCAGGCAGAGGCTGCTGATGAACACAGACGGCTGACCCAGAAGCTGTTGGCCAAGTGTCCAGCAGTGCAGGGCTGCAAAGGGAAGGCAACCCTGCCAGGGACAGAGCCCACAGAAACACTGCAGCGTGCTCCACCAGGAGAGGAGGGCAGGCGTGCACACCGAGGTCCTCGAGAGCCCGCCTGGGGTGCTGCCTCTGGGACAAGTTGCAAGGTTAGGGCTGGGACCGAGGCACCACTGACACCCACAGCTGGGGTACAGCCCCATCTCCCCCCCAGCCCCAGGGAATGCTAAAACCTGCACACCAGGCTGACAAAGCCAGCCCCATGCAGAGGTCTCCGCTCCAGGAGAGAAGAGGCTTCGAAGGAGGCATACTCCAGACTCTGAGCTCTCCCCAGTGATGACCACAGGGCTTCTACCAGCCGGCCGCAGGCAGCAGCCGCCACACAGCCCGCAGGCAGCAGCAGCCACACAGCCACAGTGCAGCTCAGGCAAGCGCCGTCCTCTCGGTGCTCGCCCCCACAGGGTGGCTCCGACTGCACCCAGCTCCAGCCTGTCTGACTGCATTTAACACCGCGGCTGCCAGCACCTCTCCGGGCCCCCGTCTGCCTCCGCGGCCCTGGCTGTGGAGAGGCAAAACCACTGCTCGCAGCCAGCACAGGGAGGCCTTGTAGGCCTGGGCTAGGGGAAGGAGCCAGAGCATGGTGGCAGCCGTGTCCCTGTAGAGGACAGACCCCTAAGCCCGGCAGACTGGAGGGGGGGATCAGGATTAGCACCTTCCACCTGCAGGGCCTGGGACCACAATGTCCCCAAGGGAAACGCCTTCCATTTTGCACCCCTACGGGCCCTCTTGTCTGTGGGGACAGTGACAGGGCTGTCACCGCTCCTCAGCTCCGCCCAGCTGGGGACACGGAGACGGGCGTCCATCTAACGCAGGGAACCCAGCCCCAGCGGCAGGAATCGCCCCACGGCCGGCAGGTCCCAGCTCAGGATTCACCTCGCACCCCGAGGCTCCAGAGGGAACCCCGCGACCAAGCCCTCTGGGACCAAGCCCGGGCCCTGCTG